TGACATCTTTTTTTCCCCAGCCCCTCACAACTGCTCCATGACTGTCTGCAGCAGTTTACAACATGTAATGGTAACACACTGAGTCAGTGGGATGAGACATTTCAAGCTTCCCAGGAAAAAAGAGTCTTAGTCAGATAAATATTAGTAAATTGAGCAAGCGGGGCTACGTGCTATTGCTGATTAATCCATGGTTTGCGTATGGTACAGAAAAAAATCTCACAGATTGAGCAAAGATGCTTCCGCTGCTGCCCTTGTTTAAATTAACCCAAAAGCTCCAATCTTGCAGCATAACATTTGCTGTAATCACTTAATGAGCAACCTTGGTGGCCTTCATCTCCCTGGCTGAGACCTTTCTAAGTGAACTGCCCCTAAGACAAGAGCTTCTTCACCTGAACTTGGGCATCTTGGAGTGAAGTGCCTGAGCTCCCTCTGTGCTCACAGAAAGACCTGAACACCCCCAAAGGAAGACTGAGCCTCCTTGCAGGGCATCTCCATTATAAGCAGCTGGCCTTGATGGGCTCCACGTCCCTCCAGGAGGTCCTGCCTGCAGAGGGACTGGTACCCATCAGCTCACCAGTGGGTTTGAAGGGACCCGGCGGCAACAGTTTGTCCCAGGACATTTCTGAAGGAAGAGAATAATAAGGAATTATAATAAAAAACTTCCCAGAGATAGTCTGAAATAATCCAATTAAAAAAAAAAAAGTTAGGAGTATGAAGATGTAAAAAAAATGGAGTAAAATGTGAAAAGCATGAAAAAAGCACTACTCCTTACAGCCTTTCCCCGTAGTAACCCATACTTTTCATTTACAGCTATTTAGGGTTTTTTTTGAGTACAAATTTCCTAGGAGATCTGGTGGCCACTATACTGAGCTCCAGATATAAGTGCCTCTGGATACAGCTACACCCTAATATAAACATGGAGGGCAACAATTTACAGTGCAAGACCATATGTTTCTCCATTACTAATCGACTTCAGCTGCCAGGATTATACTGTCAGTTCTGTAAACCAGCTTTTTCCCCTACAGATGTCATATTGAAATCATTATAATAAAAGCAATTTTACAGTCTTCAGTCTCCACTTCCCTCTGCTGCTGAGAAGTCTGCATTAACGCCAGCCAAATTAGGGGTCCTTCTCCAGGGACAGGCCCCTTGGAGAGGAGGTGCATGCCTCCAGGATTACAGAGTGACAATGGGAATAAAACCAAGACAGCAGCAGAAACACCAGTACCCTGCAATGGCTGATGGCTGCAACTTGAGCTCGTGCATCTTTTGGGAGGAAGATGCAAAGTTGGGGCCAGCTGTAAAACTGGGCAGGCTAAATGCATTGCTAAATCCTACAGGTCCCACTGATGGGCATGTGGGAAGAGTCACTGTGGAGTTAAATTGACAAAACCCCCTTTTTTTTGCATTTTTCCTCACTTTGAGCCGTACTCATCATCATGACTTAGAGCATGGGCTCCTCCTGGCAGTGCCTGCATTGGTTGCTGTGCTTTGTTACCATGACTCACGTAGCTAAGGCAACCCCATGTTGCCAGGAGCGGGGTACACGATGCCTCATACTCGGAAATGATGATCAAATCCCCTCTCTGGAGCAGGCACTCACTTAAGGGACATGTGTCATGGCAGAGCCAGTGACCCAGCCTGCAAAAGCTGGCGCCACCAGCCCACCCATCGAGGCTGAGTGTGACCATCCCGTCCCACCCATAAAAAAATCCCTATACACAACACCCCCCCCATCCACACCCACATACAAGGGCTGGTGCCTGATGACTTTTATTAATGGCAGCCATAGTAGTTGAATTTGGGATCTCATGCACTGTTGAGGCACAGCCATGGTGATGTGGTGGGCTGCAAGAAAAAAATTCTTCTCTTCGTCTCACTGGTAACACAACAAAACGTGAACTAAAGGCAGTGACACTTCTCCCAGCTGCCAGCCCCAGTTTGGACAGAGACAGCAGCAGGCATCTGAGCTGCAATCACCCAGGCTTCTATTAGCTAAAGTCATGGCCCTTAATTGTCAAAGCCACTCACTACCTACACATACTCAAACTACCCTGTGACACCTGTACCAAACTTTGGTGCCAGGGTATGGTGCAGGGCCATATCATGTCTCTAACCCCTCTCCCCAGGTGCACTGAAGAAGAAATTAGAACTCTGCTGTCAGCTCTTCACCTAAGTTATAGCACTTGTTTTTAATAAATAAGGCAATATACATTTTTTTTCTTATTAGCTAAGCTAATGCTGTATACTGTATAATGCTGACACTAATGTGTCAGCAGTGACCAGCTACCACAGCATGCACTAGGATTAGTGCTACTTACTTGTAAGTGATTGCCATGTTTCCCAGGTCAGGTTGCTCTGAGCTCCTTGAAGTTCTCCATTCTTTCCTGAGGCATGTTTCTGTAGGAGAATTGCTCATGCTTTAGTTTTGCTGCCCACTTTGGGTTCAATCAGTCACCTTTGCTTTCTGTCTCAGGTAAATAGATTTTAAAAATAATTTTACAGAATTTTTGCATGGTCAGAATATCAGAGACCTAAAATGATGGTATTTTAATGCAATGGACTTTCTTTTTATATTGTTATCCACTTAACATGCCCATGTTAAGTAAAAAAGTGGAGCCTTCATACAATGGACATACGTTCAAAACTAGGGTCCCTGTTCTGCAAGAACCTCCCTTTTTCAACGCTGCAAGAATTTTTTCATGTTTTTTTCCTAATAATTTTTTTTTCTAGCAGTTTTCTAATTTGGCCAGTGTTAAGACAAGTTTACTGAGGTGACAGCTGGGGGAGGCTTTCAATATTTTAAAATGATGGATAAATGTACAAGAAAAATCACTCAGATGAAAGCAAAAGCAGAAAGACAGAGACCAAAGCGGGCTGCTGACCCTGCATCCACAGGTACAAGCTTCATTTAAAAGTGAATTCAGTTTTTTTTACCAAAACTTTTGAAGCAAGGTGTGCACAAACATGCCAAGTCCTGCAGCCTTTCCACACTGGAAGTCTTCCACCAGATGTTGCTTGTGCTCCTGACTTGCTGCCTTGTTTTTTTGCTCTTTTTGAAGTGGTGTCTCATTTCCTGTGCACAAAGACCATTCCCTGTTTCATTTTGGGGTCAAATTAAAAATACCCTTATGATTTCTGCTTAAATCCAGCTCTGCTCCTTGTTGATTCAAGCACCCTTATTCTTATGGGGCACTTTGGTCAAGAATTTGTTTTACAGAGCAGACCAGCATTTATCCTGAAAATGTAGATGTGCAGCCTAATTGTAAGTCAATCTGGGCTGTTTGCCTTAGTGAAGCGAAATAAATCATTATGAAAAGTGAGATATAGTGTCAGGGAAAAGCCTGCAGCTCTTTACATGCCAGGCCACAGCTACATGTACGGTCTGCAGCCACTTCCCCACCCCACAAGCAGTGATGGCCAGCATGGTCTTCCTACAGCGGTCTCCAGCCCATCCCTCTCTGAGAAGCTCAGCTAAACCATTCCTAGCTCATTCATCAACCCTGGGAGCATTGCACAGCCCCCATCTTTGCTCTGACCCTCCCCACAGATGTGCACACTGCAGTGAATTATCAAAGTGTGGCCGTGTACTCCAGCAGATGAGTGATTTGCAGCGGAAATGGGTTTGGCTCTATCTTTGATTGGTTCCCGGGAATGGGCTTCTGACCCTGCTGAAGTCCCCGGGAATGCTGCCAAACTCTTCAAAGAGGCCAGGTCTCGCTTTGTAAGCTCACCTCTGGGGTTTGGCTTGCACCTGTAGAGGTGTCGGTCCTTCAAGGAAGATGTTAGAGGAGAACAGGGCTCAAAGTCCGGAGGGCGATGCTGCATAAAGTACATAGCTGAGCAAATACTGGTTTAGAAACAGTGTGAATAAGTTCATTAAGCGAAGCCCTGCCCTTGGCTGCAGCATCAAGGCAGTGGCTAGGAAGCTGCATCAGCCTTGTGTCAACTATCGTAAAAGAGTAATGCAATGAATGGTGTCCAAGAGGAAGGAACTGCAGGCTTACACGTGCCTCTTAAATACTACCTCCAGCTGCCAGAGGCTTTACAGGGCACTGGCCAGATTACAACTGTGGTGCCTTCCTGGGAAAGGGGAGTGGGTTGGGGGGAAGAAAATTAGATAAATCGAGGGAATAAAGATGGGGGGAGCAGCGTTAATGCAAAACTGGAGAGGTGGGTTGCCCTGAGGAAAGGATGAAGGAATGGTTGATGGTGATGGCGCAGAGCTGGCTGGATGTGGGGCCTCAAATAAAGCCAGTGGGCTTGGCCCAGTCCTGGCTGAACATCTTGGGGTGACCAGGGCTGGACTCAAACCAGATATCCATGGCAGATGGCAGCAGCCCATCACAGGCCCTGCTTGGACCCCTCTGCCCCCAAGTGGAGATCGTGCCAGGGCAGACCCAATGTGGTGAAGTTGTCCAACTCAAGGACCACAGGAGCACAGTTTTGGGAGCATCATGTACCCAAGTGTGGATCTGAGAAGCAGCAGGGACCGCTTAGAGGGGCAAGATGGGGGGGCCTCAGGTCACAGTGGATCATCCTCACGGGGGGGGGGGGGGTTTACCCTGCCTGGTAGAAGAAACGGAGGCAAGGGGGCGCGCAAGGCAGAGATTGGGGTCCACTCGCGCCCCTGCCCACAGCAGCAGCAGAGATGGGGCCCCTCGGGAGGGTAACCCCACTCCCGGCACATCCCAGCCCACGCGGGCGCAGCCACCATACCCTCCCTTTGCTTCCGAAGTCCCCGCTCCCGCTGCAGCCCCTGCCGACGGCGGGGAGCGCGGCCCGGGGGGCGGGCGGGAGGCGGGGCGGCGAGGGGCGGCCGGGCCGTGGCTCCCCGGGGGATGGCAACCGGAAGGCGGCGCGGCGCTGATTCATTGCAATTAAGATGTTACATTGCGGCGGCGGGCGCTCGGTCATGCACGCGCGCCGAGCAGGAGTCGGGTAACAACTGGAGCCGGAGTCCGCAGCGGGCAGCGGAGCCAGCCGCCGGGGAAGCGAGAATGAAGATGGCAAGCCTGAGGTGAGTCCGCGAGGGCGAGCTGGAGAAGCGAAGCGACAGCCTTTTCCAGCTGTGGAAAAAGAAGCTGGTGGTTCTGACCAAGGACAGCCTCAGTCTCTTCCCCGACGGGCACAAACGGGCCAAGGGCAAGGAGCTGGGCTTCGGCTCCATCCTCAAGGTGGACTGCGTGGAGCGCACGGGCAAGTACATCTACTTCACCATCGTCACCAAGGACCGCAAGGAGATTGACTTTCGGTGCCCGGACCAGAGCTGCTGGAACGCCTCCATCACCATGGCCCTCATCGACTTCCAGAACAAGCGGGCCATCCAGGACTTCAAGAGCCGCCAGGAGATGGAGCAGGCGGCGGGCACCCAGGAGCGGCGGCTGGCCGCGGGCGCCCTGAGCCGCCGCCGCCCGCCCGGCGCCGCGGCCCCAGGTGAGCCCCTCCCGGCCCCCTCCGCGCTCCCCCGCGGTTCCAAATGGGGTTTTTAGTTTCTTTTTTTTTTTTTTTTTTTTTTTTTTTTTTGTTTTTTAATTTTATGTTTATATTCCCAGGCGCCTGCTTCGGGAAATCGCGGGCGTGGGATCTCCCCACGTTCACCGCTCGATCCCTTGTCTGCCGAAGGGACCTGCCGGCCGCTGCCCGCGGCCCGCGGGGTTGCCCGCGCACCCCGAAACCGGCCGTGCTCTGCCCGGACCGCGGCAGCTTAGGCTTTGGGGCCGCGCTCCCCCTTCCCTGTGCATCGCGGGGGGGGTCCGCTTTCCGATGCACCCGCTGAGAATTTCTGGTGGGAGCTGGGCTTATTGAGGGTACGGCTTGGAGGTGGTGGAGGGGAATAAGAAATGGCCCTTGGCAGTGCTTTCCTCACAGAACTTGCTAAAAATATGATATCTATGAAAATAAATGCTCAGTGCTTAGTCTCCCTTGAAAGCCCCTCATTTTTTCCTGTACCATGCTGCCCCGTTCATTTAACTAACCCACTTTCTCTTGTTGCCTTTAGAGCATACCACTGAATGATAAACCAGATCGAGTGTCTTGGACTGAAATGGGACAGGGTACCAATGAAGGAAAGCAAAGAAGAGAGCTGGAATCAGCTTGGTTTTCTCCAAGCCCGTTGCAGCTGCTGAGCAAAGAGCCCTGAGCTTTGCCTGAGATGCATTAAAGAAAAACCAAAGACTTTCGTTACAGGACTTCTAGCAAAGCGTCCACGTGTTTTGAGTGGCACAGCTTTGTGAACTATTATCTCCTATTTATGAGGCGCAAGGAAGATTCCACACTGACTTTTGGTGTTAAACACAGTTTAAATTATTTGTAGTATCTATATTTGTATTTATTTTGTTGAATGTCTTTCAGCAGTTACTGGTCTTAATATTGCTTTTGCATTAATGTGTCCATTCCAAATAAATTACTTGAAATGTTCACTTTTTATTACTGTACTCTGGGCTGCAGTAACTTTTGTTGAGGCATGTTTGTGGATACGGCAGTGGTGAACTGGCTTAAAAAGAGTGGGTAAAGAGTGGGCTTTTTGGTGCCCTAGACTGGGCAGTGGGAGGTGGAGGAAGCCCAGATAAGCTGTTCGTGTTTGACCTCGTCTCCTGACCAGTGAGGGAGAGGGTGTTGAGGTTCAATTCTGGTCAGTGGTGGAGGTAGAAAAGCCTACCACAGCTTGGATAAGTGCTCCTTTTGAAGCGCTTTCCCATACAATCAAGTAATGGAGATTACAGAAGGTGCAAGAGCTCCCTGCAACAGTAAAGCTCTGCTCTTTGCAAACCCCCTCTGTCCTTCCCCCAGCCCTCGTAGCTTAGTGCTGTGCTGAGGCAGGAAACGGGATTCTTGATTTCGGAACAAGACCGTCAATGCTCTGTGGAATTTCTCAGCTTTGCAGCAAAGCAAGCTGAACTTGCTCACCTCTCCTCAACTCTGCAGTTTCTAGATAAATGTCTCCAGGAGAACTCTGAAGAATGGAGGCAGGCTCTTTTCCTATAGCACCTAAGCCAAGAAGCATGGAGAAAAAAGAAGGTATTTTTTTGGATAAAAGTACTGAAGTTTTATTTTGTGGGGCTCAATTGTCACTCACTAACGTGAGCTTCCTCATGCAGCACACGATTCAACTCTGGCAGTCAGGACTGTGAGCTTAGCAGGCAAAGCACTTGCTCCAAATTTGGTAATTTCAAGCAGGTATTTTCCCTTTCCCAATATCAGTGCAATTCTTGCAGGAGACTTTGTACTAGAGGAAGTTGCAAAATATGTAATTACACGGGCCCATAGTAAGAGCAAAAGAGACTCAATACGGGGGAAAAAAACCTGGAAGGAGGGTTGGCCCAGTTTCTGGGAGGCTCTGGCACTGCAGTGTGGTACTTAGGGGCTTTTCATCCTCCTTGCTGGCTCTGCTACCACCCACCAGGCTCATGCGGAGTCAGGGTTGCAGATGACTGAGCTGTGGATGTAGTAAATCTCTAGCCACAGTGTTTGAAAGCCTTTGGCCTTGTTCCCCTCTAGCATGAGAATGCTGGGAGGTACATTTAATGCAGCAAAATAATACCCAAATTTTACTCCCCACCATTTTCCTTGGTACTATTTTGCGAGGGTGAAATAAAAGGCCAGCACTGGCTCCTAATCCCCTCAGTTTCAGTGAATTCAAGCAGGAATGCTGCCTGACAACAGGTGAGGATCTGGGGATATTGCCTACAATGACAGCCACCACTGCGGGGGGCTGGGGGGAACCTGATAGCTCCTGGGGTCCCATGGGCCTCAGTTGCTCCAGCATGATTCCAATGCCTTTGCAAACTGATCTGCTCCTTACTCTAGATGCAAATGTTGACAAAATGCAAGGATTGTTCAAATTGCTTTATTCTAGGTTTACAGAATCAAAAATAAAACTCAAAACCATCTTTATTTCTATGGAAAAGTAAGGCAGTTACTTTCTTGCACATGAGTTATTGGCTTTTCGTCTCCCTCAGTGAGATTTTAGTCTTTAAGAGGTAAACAAACAAACCTATATTGACCACTAGCTGTAAATAGCCGAAGGAGGAGACTCCAAACTGTTTATATAAAACTCCACCAATGGTTGGGCCCACCGTCCGTGTCAAAGGCTGCACTGAGGCACAGATCCCGAGCATGGCACCTAGGAGAGATGGCAGAGACACACAGGGTGAGAGCAAGTCTTGGGATGGAATAGCAGAGCGGAGCATGCGGGATCCCCTGCATCCCTAATGGTTTTCCCCTGCAGTAGTGGCAAATCACTTCAAATAATTTCTTACATTAATTTATAGCGGTCCAATTAGGGTTTGCTAATGTTAAGGACTCCTGGAGGCATGGGGACTAGTTTCCACCACGAGCCAGCTCCGCTCTTTACTGGGCGGTCTGTGTGATCGTAGCAGTGCCCAAAAGGCAAGTGGGTGCTCACCACTGCCATCACCAGGGTCCAAGGATGCCTTTGGCCTCAGAAGATGCTGCTGAACATCGCACCCGGCAGAGCTGGTAGCTACTGCATGGGATTAGGGATGGACAGGTAGTTTCTAGGGTCGTGTTTGAGACTTCCAAGCAAATCACACAGATTCTTCCAATCTCATAAGTACCTGAGTGGGCCTTGTTCCACTCAAACTACTACTGCCATTTATTCTCTAGTGTGGAACAGAGAAACAGCTCTTGAGGGCTTAGCAGGAGCGAGAGGGTTAGGCCTAACTAGGTCTTTAAGAATAAATAAATAAAACCACAGATAAAGACTGAACACCCTTGAGATACTCCCCCACCTCCCTTTGCAAAAAGAACAGATATTTCCATTTGGATGGGTATGCAAGCCCTTTTCCCGGCTGAGCCGGTTCCCCCTCCAGCAGCCCTCACATTTGCATCATTTACAGGAACCCAGAGGATGGGGAAGTACCTCCAGTTTGGTAAAGGCAGGTTTTTTTTTTCATGTACAAACGAACAGCCAGGACATGACCCAGAACACAAAGCTGGCCCCCAACACAGCCGGTATGCTCTTTTATCCTGTGGTCTTTGTGCGGGACAGTTGTCATGTTCAGGGGAGCAGAAAATACAAGGCCAGCCAGAAAATCATTAGCCCCAAACACCAAGAAGAATGGCAAGCTGGCAGCATATATAAGAAATTTGTGCCCAGTTCTGTAATGATTTTTGCAATGATTTTTTTACTATCAGTATGACTATTTGGGCTGCTGGCATCAATTTTCCATTAATATTCATTGAGGTGTTGTCCCCACACCAGGCTATCAGCATCTGGGAAGGATGAGGAGGATGCTGTCCCATATACCAGAAGATGTGGAGCCAAGTGTGATATTTAACATTGGGAGCCACGGGGAAATGATCCCCAGCTCCCAGGGAGAACAGGCAGCCAGGTGTTCTTGTAATGCCGGCCAGCAACTGCTGGGCTTTTATCAGCATGCTTAAAATACTTGTGCAGTGAGCCCAAGCCGAGGGCGTAGCCATGTGGAGAGGGAAATCTCCCCGGGAAGCGCTGCTGAGCGCTCCTCCTGCGCATGGGAACACAAAGGCGATGGGTGGGACCTTGCCTTGACCCTTTGCCAATGGGAACCATCCCACAACCACTGAACTCTCTGGGCAGGTTTTGCAATTATTTTTTCCCCTCCAGGTATTTGAATTAAACTAATTACTAAGTACAATTGCCAAACTGGCTCTTATGATTGAGGAGGCACTTTTTTCCCTTTCCTTTTTTTTTTTTTTCTGGAGCAAAAAATCCATCCTCTTAAAAGGCTGGGCTCTCCCTCTGCACTTCTCCAACATGTTGCTGAGAAAGATAATTTCTGTTTAATGGGTTTAAATTAGATCCCTCGTGTCAGACATCCTCAGGCTTTGGGACATTGTAAATCTCAGCTCTGCAGCATGTCCCTAGCTCTGTTGCAAAGCTGCACATGTGATGGATCTCATTTAAGGCAAGACCTTTAACTGGGACAAGTCACCATGTCAGCAGAAAAATTCCTGCATTGCTTTGCGCAGCTCTGCCAACACACGTGCTCACCTTCTTCATCATGGCTATTCTACTTTCTGCACCTTCCTTGCCCTTTTTTCTCCCTCTCCAGCTTTTTTCCCCCCTTTGCCTATACCTGGCATGACCTGTCCCAGCCAGGAACTCATCCTCCCCTCCCACCCTGGCCCTCCTCCTCCACAGGTTTCAGGGTTGGGTGCTGGCGGCTCTCCAAGATGGGCGACTCCTTTCCAGCTCACATCCTGTTGCCGCTCTCAGATGATGGTGCTGGCCCAGATCAGCCACACGCCCATGGGGCGATGGTTGGGCCTGATTTAACGATTAGGTCACCATTGCCAGCAGCTGCCTTTGAACCAGCACAGCCAGAGCGAAGCTGGGGGGTTTAGTGTACCAAGCCCTGCCTGGCTGCAAATTCTCCTCCTAAGGTTGTGACGTGCAAGTAAAATCACAACACAGTGGCCCGTTAACCAGGGAGGCTCTGCTGGGCTTCCTGCCTCCCTCCCCCAAGAGTAGGGGGGGATCTGTGCAGAAACAAGACCTTCATTCTTGGGAAAGGACTAGCTTTGACAAGGAGGGCTTGTGTGAAGATGTAAGTTCCCCTGGGCTCGGGGCTGCCCTCCCACCAGCTCACGCGTTCAGCTGAACAGCACGTGCACGTGTGGCTGAATTTTCTCTTCCTGCCTTTGAAGATGAAGAGAAGGAAAAAGAATATCAAAGGGAAACTAATGAAATAATTTCTGCTACCTTTGCTTCAGTGCAAAGCCCCAGCCATAAGCAAACAACAAGTGCCAAACTCATCAGTCTTGGTAGGAAGC